AAAAAAAAAAAAAAATTATTATATTTTTTTGGGTTTTGTATATGAGATAAAATTTTCTTAATTAAGATTCCTGATTTTCCGGATCTCGTTTATTATTAATTAATTTACGGTATATTTTTTTTTTTATTTACACATATGGATTCTCTTCTTTTTTTTTCTTCAATAGGCTTCATTTTTTTCTTATATTTAGTTTAAATATTATAAGAAAAAATTGAAAATTTTGTTTTTTTATTAATTCAATAATTTAATATTTCTTTTTATTAACCATGTTAAGAAATAACAAATATGTATCGATTGTAATAAATTTAATAAATTTATTAATTGAATTTATGTTTCTCTTTCTTTCTATTATATTAGGTCGTTCTAAATTTTAATTGTTTTGTAAAAAGTTTTAGAAGGGGAAAATTTTGGGAAATTTCCGAGAAATCAGGATTCGAAAAAGTAAACACATAATCAGATATTGTTGTGGAGAAAATTTATCTAATGGAAACTAATGGAAATCTCCAAGAAGCTCTAAACGCTTTTTTGATAAAATAATGTAAATGACGTAATTCAAATTTGAAGCTCAGAAGTTTTATTATTACAGTGATATTAGAACTACGACCAATTCTTTTTTATATTAATAATAATATAGACGGTAAAGATTCTATTATTATTGCATATTTATTTACATGATATTAATTAAACTAACGATTCTTTATTAAAAAATTCAAACAAACCAACCAAAATTGTCGGAATTGTCGGATAAAGAAGGATTTTACTATAAGAGAATTGGACTTTGAGTCAACTAGTAGTGAACTAGTCCAAATCTAATAGTCCAAATTTTTTTTCTTGTCCAATTTCCATCACTTGCATGATAATGATAAATCTGATCACATGTCATAGAATCAAGATTTTTGATAAAATTACATCATAATCATGATGATGAATAATTAGTAAACGTAAGGTTCTTGAAGAAACTTGTTAATAATTAACTAATTTGGTATAAATAATCAAAATTATTAAAATGATAAAATGACAAATTTAATTAAATATTTTTTTTTTTATTATTTAATCATATTGGTAAACGTTTCACAAATAAATATTGCTTAATAACTTAAAATGATAAATTCATAGATTACATAGATTACATAAATTAAATAGCTTAATTAAATACGCAATTATAATGAAAAAATTATTATTAAATTAATCTCTCTCTATCTCTATATTGTCTATATATACATGTAATAGTTTTAATGATAAAAATAGAAATGGCAGTTTTGCAAAAAAAAAAAAAAAATCTCTATTTATATACTTATATTACATATAGTATTTCGAAATTATAAAAATAATGAAGGTTTTTCTTATACAGTCATATGCTTATGAAAAAAATAAAATAATTAAAATAAAAATTTCGATAAAATCGCCGTGTTTTTGTTAAAACCGCCACATGTTTAAAATTTTCGATAAACCGCCACCCGCCACATTTAAAAAAAAAGTTTTCGTTAAAGCCACCACATTTTTTTTTTTTAAAAAAAAAAATCGCCGTTGTTTTTAATAATTTTCGTCAAAGTTGTTGAATTTGAAAAGTAAAACAAATCTACTGGAGGATTCGATAGATAGGTGGGAAATTCCATATTATCATCGGAACTTGAAAATGTAGGTGAGGTTACGTTTGAAAATTGTTCGATTTCATCAAGACTTACTTCATCAAGTCCGTATGATTCTTGAGAAGATAACAATGTTGAAAATTGTAAATTTTCATTAGAAATGTTATCAATATTTTCAAATGAAATATCTGGGCTTTGAACAATTTCGTTATCAATAGAATGAATATTTTGAGGTGCGTGAACAGCAATCATAGGAACTTCTTCGCAAGGATCATTTCGATGCCATACTATCACATTGTTCTCTTTCTTCGAAGGTCTAATAGCGATGTGCTCAATTTTACGTTTTTTTGAAGTTGTCATAACATTAGGTTTATAATCGTTACTTTGAAATTGATCATTGTTTAAAAATTGAGGTGATGGAATAGGTGTGGTAGATCCGGAAGGATAAGAAAATCCAAAGAAATTCGTAGCTGTCAAGGGAATAGGAATAATTAAGTTATTATGAATAACAAAATTTTCAAGTTCTTCCCAAGATTGTCCCTTTTCAAATTCTGTACTATCATTTGATGTAAGAATTAATAATTTATTTAGAATTTTATTAAGATTTTCATTATCAATATTTGTATTCACATTATTTGTTATTTCGCATAATTTTTTTAAAATTATTGTTTGTTCATTTGAAATATGAGGATTGGAGAATAAAGAAAGGTAAAGGTTTCCAATAAGATCGATTGGTTTAGTTTCATTTTTATGATTTATTTGATTCATTAATGAAATTATAGTATTTTCATATTTGGTCATTTGTTCTTCAAGTTCTTGTCTAGATTGTTCCGGATCATCTTCTCTTTCTTCCCCAGCTACTGCATTTTTTCTTGCTGCATTTAAAATACGAGTAATTCTCAAAAGATTTGGTTCGGAATAAACGCAAGTTTCATTATGATTATGACAATATTTGCATGGTTTTCTAGTGAGATAATTTCCATCGCATTTTTTCTTATCACGTTTGCATCTATCACACGCCACAATATTAATTTTGCCTCTTGATTTTTTCTGTGACTTTAAAGATGGCGTCATTTGATCATGTGATGTTGAGAAAGTGGTTTGGGAATTCATTCTTTTTCTTATTAAAATTAAAGGAAATAAACTTTTTTTCCGAGAAAAAAAAAGATCAAAAATTGCTTTTTCGTAATTAAGAGAGAAAAATAATTATTTAACGTATGAATGCTTTTTTTTTTGATGAGTGTATGAGGAATCAAGCCATTATATATTTTTTAGAAGCCACAGTCACGTGTTAAACAGGTTTGTACTATTTCATGTATAACGAACAAAATCTTCAGAAAATCTTTACTAAATGGAGTTCTTATACCTTCCAATAAAATTCAATAACTTGGAAGTAAATCCCTTATTTTAGTGAGAGTGTAACCAGTAGATTTTTCTTAAAAGAAAGAATAATATTCCATCTTTCTACACATAATAAATTTATATTACATCAGACTATACCCTATTTTTCAGCGTCTTTTATTCCTACTATGTACCCATTATTTCGATAATCTTTGACGTAATATTTATTTCCTTTCTGCGGAAATGACATAATCTTATTTTTTTTAATGGGAATTTAACTACGAAACGTCACGTATGATATGGGAACTGGAACCTAATTTTTATAAAATTAATTTCATTTTTTTTTTTTTTTCATTTTTAATTTATTTTAACAATGCAACGTTTTAATGTTCACTTTGTTCAAAGCTTTTTTTTTTTTTTTATAATAAAACTTGTATAGTAAAGACTTATAAATTTCTTTTTTAGCTAATAAAAAAATGCCGCTATGTTACGCACGTACATATCCGTGTGTATATTGTGTCACAATATCTATAGAATATTCGCCACACGAAAGCCACAATAGGATTTCTAGGGTGGAACTAAATTTTCAGCCACCCCATTGACCTCCTTGTACTCCGTAGCTTCATTCAGCCAAAACAATCATATTTGACTTTTTTATTGATATTGTATTTATTTTGTAATTACGCAAAAAAGAATTTTCCCTGGGTGAAGAGAAAACACTATATTTTAAATAATCATTATTACAAATAACGTAAATAACGTTGATCCTTGTCATTGTACGATGGTAATTTTAGTGATAGACTGCCGAAGAAAATTTTAATAATGAAGGTTGTTCACTAAAAGTGGTATTTTTCAATAAAAGTGTTGTACCATTATTCGGGTAGATCTCTTAAGATTGGCCCGTGCGTTCCACCTGATGAAGGAGTGACACCGAAAATTCCAGAAAGCGAAATCGTTTCTACGCGTACATAAAAATTTGACGCGTTTGTGATTCGACTATCATGGAGTAAAGGTACAATCCTATTACATGTTTAAAATCAGTATTTTTTTTTCTTTTCTTTATAAATTTAACAAGAATTGAATAAATTACCAATCATAATTATTTGTTGTATATTGTGATGTTTGTTGCGATATGATACGATCCCCAGTCATATGTGAGCTACAATAATAATGATTTAATATTTAAGAATAAGCTCATTTCAACAATTCTTCCACTTATTAAACATGGTGATTGATTCCATGAAAAATACGTTGTTTATTTAATGGCATAATGAGAATATTATTAGGAGGTCCACTAAAAAAAAAATATATGTATGAATAAATAATAAAATAAATGAATAAATAAATTACAGTAAAATCTTTCTTTACAATACCTAATCAAAATGCCATTACACGCCAAGGAAGTTTATGAACATCAGATGCTGATGATGGTACCTTTGTACGGGGTCTGACGGAGGATCATTAACACCACTTTGTGGCTGTGAAATAGATAACGATGATTTTCCATTTTGATTTGATCATTTGATGGTACTTCATTTGATTTTGTCATTTAGGATTTAAACCTTTTCCTAAATCTAAACAGGGAATTTCAAATTTGGAATTACAGTATCTCCTAAAAGTGGCAATCAGAATTCAATCACATGGTGGGTAGGATGCTTCGGAACATTTACGATCACGTATTATTACGGCACAATTCCGAACATCCTTGAACATCCTTTCGTTAATCCCTGTTGGTATTTCATCACTAAGATTAACCATTAAATTGTGCTAAACATGGCTGTAAGCAATGTGACTAACATCACGAGAATATTTTTCGATTAATTAGTCAACGACATACATTTCCAATTTTAAATATGTTGAATTTGGCAAAAGAAGTAAATGTACAATAAGTTTTGTTAGTTTAAAAATGGAAAAGGTAAATTATTTTATTTATTCCATATATTTCAACTAGAAGAATCAATGTCTTATGCCATTTTGCGTCAGATGATTGAAGATCATCAATAATAATATCTGCAGGTATAATGGGAATTTGTAATCCGCAGAACTTGTACAAGTCCGTAGCAGTTGTCAAATTGATTTCCTTTTTAATCGTAAAATAAAACTAGAAAAAAATGGTTTTCTGTTTTTTATTGGAGATTGTTTAATTATTTAATTATTCAAATATAGTTTTTTTTATGTGAAATGCAATGCATTCCCGGAACGTTGCGCTGATGACTAGAATAATATGCATGGATATTCAATTATCAGCGATGAACTAACTGTACTTAGCGTTATGGCACCATATCATATTATATATACAACAGAAGTCATACATACCCGAATATGCACGGATATTTCCGGATTTTCACAAAATCTGTGTAATTTCATCATAAATTCCTTATCGCTTAATCCACACAAAGTTAATCAGTTACAATTCATTTTTTTCTTATAATTTCTTGTAGGCAAACTATCAGGAGGGATTAGCAAGCGGGGTCATTGATCGCTTTGATATTAATACTAATGTATTTATTTCTACTTCTGAAATAGTAGAGGATCTATACGATAAATTTATTTTTATTCAAATTTGGTTTAATAAATATAATTCTAGGGTTTCAGGTTAAACCGTTAAGGTACAAAGAATACGGCCGTTTTCCTAATTGATTGACTCGAGAATTTAAGAGATGACTTGTCAGGTGAAGCTTTTCCTAATTATGTAATATAAAGGGTCATAAATATATCAGGAGTCGGAATAACAAGTCCTAGACCCATTAATCTAATAATAATAATATTACTTAATAACATATTATTAATAATTATTAATAAGTAAGATTCATAATATAAAATACTTTGAATGTATAACAAATTCAAAAAAAAAAAAAAAGTTAAAAAGATGTTTCAATTTATGTTTACAAATAAAAATCTATTTATATTGATATTAATAAAAAAGATGATGGATAAAATGTCGAAAAAAAATTTAATCGTGGCACATTTGATCATCATAATTGGGATTTCACAAACTAAAAATTATTTTGAAAATTACAAGTAAAATGTTTGTTGAGGTTTGTAATCCATATCTGGAAAAATCCAATTTAACAAAAATTTGATAAATCGAAAAACTAATTTCTTGCAAGAAATATACGTATAATTTATCACAAATATCAATGTAGTGATAGAATGGGATAATGATCTTGTGAGTTGTGATATTTATATTAGTTGAATTCACGTAAAATCTTTTTGTTTCATGTTAACTATGTTAACCAATTATTGTTACATGTTCACCAATCAGTTACCGTTGGCCAATATATATACATGTATGTATATATACACTGCCCCAAAAATAATACCCCCGTGATTAAGACCCAGGTATTATACATGGCAAAAAATTCTTAATTCTGTAATTCTGGTGGAAAAGGCCTCTCCATAATTTGTTTTACCGGTATTATCGCTATTTGCCCGTTTATGAAAAGCTGATATGTGGGCACATAATTTTCGGGCCACAGGAATATCATCTGAGCAGCAAATGACTGCTACTCTTATTTTATTTTCGTTCAGAAATTTTGCTGAAACTGGAAGGTCAAAACCATTTGCCTCCACAGTACCTGTGGTACTATTCAATTTAAAAAAATCGAGTTCTTGAATTCTGACCCGGGTATTTTATGCTGTGGCCAACGGTACTATTAGTTGAGTTTTCAATAATTCGAGGAAAAAATTAAATGCGAATTCAACCAAATCTGAGTCTTAAAAAACGAGATGTATATCTGTCATTCGATCGAGACAATACTTTGGTGATGCGAAAAAATTTTTATACGTTGAATCTTGAATAGGGAATATTAAAAATTTTTATAATTCTGTCTTTAAGGAATTACACTGATAATTGTAGCTATGACAATCTTATCGCAATGATCCACGTGCCTATATCCAAATTTGCTATCTATAAAACCATAAAAAATAATAATTGTTTCATTAAATCAATCATTTCTTTTTTTCCTCTTTTTTTTTTTTTTTTTTTTTTTCACAATTACAAAGTTTTTAAGAACACTGGTGTAAAAATAAAAGAAAACATTATTAAAATATCTCGCGTACTTTATTAATTTGTTATTTTTAATAATTTTTTAATATGGGAATAAATCTCGATCACATAATAAAATCGGATTCTGATCCTATTATACCACCTTTTTACGCTATCTTTAATTGTGTGTTTTTTACATTATGTTTCGTTGGAGGTTTATATTTTTCGAAGACAACAAGAATTGGTGGTAATAATCCTCAATTAACAAAAGACCATCCGAAAGTTATCATGAATCGTGGAATTAGTGTTATCATCTCTTGCTCGATTTCATTCATTGGAGTTTGGTTTTTAATACGTCTTTGCGGAGGATTTGATGACTCAGCTGTAAAATAATCTTTATTCAATTTTATATCAAATATATATTTATTGTTTCTTTTTTTAATCTTTTCTTTATTTTTACTATTTCTTTAGACAGTTTTGACAGAAATTAAAACAACATGGGTACTTCTTGGATTCTCATTGCCAACTAGTTCATACTATTTATTAAATACACTTCTTATTCCTTTGGGGTTAACAATGTCATTATTTGCTGGTCCTTTATTGATTAAATTTTTGGATAAAGAATTACCTTTTCAAGCTGCATTTAGTTGGCAAGATGATGTTTTTGATTATATTGGATCTTTGATTGGATTCAGAAATTTAATTTTTGTAAGTTCAAAAAAGGTTCTTTTCTTTTAATACTTTTTATTATAAACAATAAGATTTTTATCTTTCACCAGGCACCATTTACTGAAGAATATGTATTTAGATGTTGCATGGTTCCGCTTCTTGCTTTAGCAAATTTTTCTCATGCTCAAATTATATTTTTATCGCCTTTAGTATTTGGAATAGGTACCTTACAAATAATTTTTACTCAACATTATTCTTTTTAATATTAATATGTACTTTTTACGTTCCTGTTCACATTTTATGTGAGCAGCTCACGTACATCATGCTTGGGAGACCTACATCAATCGTGGAAGAACTGCTGAAGCAGCAAAAGTCGCAATAGTGATTTCAGGTAATATAAATCACTTATTATTTATGTAAATTAATTTAAATTTGTTACTGATAAAGATCCGATCTTATTAAAGGATTCCAATTGACGTATACTACACTATTTGGATGGTATGCCACATTTTTATTTGTTAGAACAGGTATGATATTCGATTTTCTATTTAATTTATTTAATTTTATAATGCAATTTTATAATAATATTTTTTTACAATTATTATAATTATAATTAGGTCATATTATTCCTCCATTTTTTGCTCATATGTTTTGTAATATGATGGGATTTCCATCTATTAATATTTCAACATATTCAGAAGGAATTAAAAAAGGTTAGATTATTCCATTAGTGATTTTTTTTAAAAAATATAATCATAACATTTTTAACATTTGAAAATAATTTTTGTTTTCTTTTCTAGTTGTTATAGTAGCCTTGTTCGGTGGGGTGATTACCTTTGTATTTTCTTTATTTCCTGCAACTAATCCAAGTTTATATGGAGACGTTGAAAAGTCAATATATTGGTATAATACAACAAACAATTAATCTTAGGCTGCAAAGGGGACTATTTATTATTACAAAAGTTATTTCTTAGTCATATGAATAAGAATGATCTGTATAAACGGTTGTTTAAACTTGTAGAATTTTTTTTTTTTAACAAGATTCATAATATTATTATGAATCTTTAATACTAAAAGATATAAGACTATTATAAAATTGATCATATAGCATAAATCATGAATCAGATTGACATTATAAAATTAGAATATATATTTCGTAATCAAGTTTTACATAAGATGATTTGAAAAAATTTTTTTATGACACTTGTAGTGCGTGATCAACACTTAAAATTATTTAAATTATTCGAGAAAAAATTTAATAAAATATTAAACACGAGAAAAGTGGAATTTTTTTAAAAAAAATTTTTCGTGTATTTATTTTACAACATACAAATCAATCCAACCAATCTATTCATATTTAAATATAACTACTTTGTAATATATCAATTTGATTGTGTACTTTAAGTCCATCTACAATAACTTGTAATGATTCACCATTTAATACATTATCCAATTCATGTAATGTCAAATTAATTCTATGATCAGTTACTCTATTCTAAATTTACCAAAAAAAAAAAAAAGAAAAGATTTTTTTATTTAAATATTCTGTGTTGTAATTTCAGAAAATTAAAATTATATTAAAATATTAAACTTACTTGTGCAAAATTATAAGTTCTTATTTTTTCGGATCTCTCACCAGTTCCAACCTATATAATAATAAAAGTTGAAATAAAAAAGATTTATATTATTCACTTAAATAAATTATTATATGTATTACTAATTAGTCGCCAGTATATTCATGCCCGTAATTTTTCTGATGATATTTTTCATGCTCACGTGTTTTTATACCTTTCCCACTCTTTCCCATCACTGGACGTTAGCCTCCATGAGATAAAAGAGTTATTTCACGTGTCGCATAAAATATCATGACTCCCCGTGAAATAACTATTACTTTTATATCATACCTGCTGTTTTCTATTTTCACTTCTTTCTTGATGTAATTTATTTCTTTCCATATCATATAATCTCGCTTGTAATATTTGTAATGCTTTTGCTTTATTCTATGTAAAACGAAAATAAAGAAAAAAAAAAGTTAAAGTAATAGTTCTAATTCTCTTCCAAATTCTATATTTTACAAACTGATAAACTGACTTATACCACACGTACAGTCAGATCTAACTTTTACTTTCGGTATAATTTGAAATTTCACTTTCGGTAAATTTGATTTTACTTTCGGTATGATTTGATATTTTTCAATGATTTTCATTTGGGTCCCAACATATCGTTATATCGAGATCGTAAAAGTACTTACTTTCGGTTGAGATCTTTCATCTTGTATAGATACTACAATACCACTTGGGATATGAGTTATCCTAACGGCACTTGATGTTGTATTAACATGCTGACCTCCTTTACCACTTGATCTATAATAGTCTATACGTAAATCAGATTCTTTAAATTTCACATCTGCCTAAAAAAAAAAAATAATATATATATCTAATTAAATATTAAAATGACAATATCACGATATCACAATATCATAATATCATAAATACCTCAGATGGAACTGGTAATATTGCAACCGTAATTGTACTCGTATGTATCCGACCAGCTTTCTCTGTTATAGGAACCCTTTGTACTCTATGAACTCCTGATTCAAATTTCATATTTCCAAATACACCTTTACCTGATATTGTAGCAATAACTCCCTGATTAAAAAAAAAAAAATCCGATTAATTTTTTATTTTGTGCCTCAAAATTTGGATGACTCGGTTTAATAAGAAATGGTATAAAGTACCTTAATAGCTCCAATAGAATCTTCTGATTTAGACAAGATTTCAAATTTCCATTTACATAATTCTGCATAACGTTCATACATTCTTAATATATCATTAACAAACAATGCTGCTTCATCTCCTCCAGTTCCTATTAAAAAAAAAAAAAAATTTTTTTTTATAAAAATGTAAAATTTTTTTTATAAGTGAAGATAAAAAGAATTATAATTTAGTATATTTACCAGCTCGAAGTTCAATTATGGCATTTCCTTCATCAGCTAAATCTTTTGGTAATAAACCTTGGATTACCTGTTGTTCAAGTAATTTTAATTTTTCCAAATATTCATGATATTCTTCTTGTATAAGATTTTTAAATTCTTCTTCATCTGATGATGTTGTAGTTTCTTGTAATATTTTTTTAATTTCTTCAAGTTCCTATATATAAAATCAATTTATAAAAATTAGTAAATGGTTTGATAATTTAAAGTATTAACTACAATCCTTCAATTAATCTGTTACCAACTAACGTTCAATTAATCTGTTATTAACTACAATGTTTCAATTAATCTGTTACCAACTACATTCAATTAATCTTTTATCAACTACAATTAATCTGCTATTAACTACATTCTTCAATTAATCCGTTATCAACTACGTTCTTTCAATTAATTTGTTATTAACTACAACCTTTCAATTAATCTGCTATTAACTACATTCTTCAATTAATTTGTTATTAACTAAATCTTTCATCAATTAATCCGTTACCAACTACATTCTATCAATTAATTTGTTATTAACTATATTCTCTCTAAATTAATCTGTTACCAACTACATTCTTTCAACTACATTTTTAACTACAATCTTTCATCAATTAATCCGTTACCAACTACACTACATTCTTTCATCAATTAATCCGTTACCAACTACACTACATTCTCTCATAAATTAATCCGTTACCAACTACACTACATTCTTTCATCAATTAATCCGTTACCAACTACACTACATTCTCTCATCAATTAATCCGTTACCAACTATCAAATTCTAACCGACAAAGAAATATAAACCATAAAATGAATTATTATATACTACACCTTGCACTTTCTTTAATTCATTATAAGAATTAGTTATATCAATTAAACTTGATAATTCTTTAGAAAGGTTTGCTATTTCTTCAGGATTATCTGGATTATCTGATGATATCTTAAATTATTTAATTTATAAAATTATTAATATGTTTTTTTAAAAAAAGATAAAAAAAAAAAGGAAATATGAACATTTACTTGATTAGATAATGTTTCGGATAATTTAGAATGACGAATTACTAAATTTTCCAATTTTTCATGAACTTTAGGATTGAATAAAGTTTCTTTTATTATTAAATCTTGAGAAGTTGAACCTAGAAAATTTTATCATAAGAAAATTTAATTATAAGAAAATTTTAATTATAAATTAATAAAAATCAACTTTAACCATCACTACCCTCATAAATAAAGGATCATAATAACCTGTTGAATATGATGATACATTATAATTAAAATTAATTAAAGGAGATTTTTTTAAATAAGAATTTATTGAATTTAATGAATTTAATGAATTTAATGAATTTATTGAATTTATTGATAAATAATTTCTTTTAAAAAAATAATTTGTAGAAAAATTATATAAATTAAATTTTTGAAAAGAAAAATAACTTGTACGATTCATTATGGGAAAGAAAAAAAAAAAAAAAAAAACCGTTGTTCCATGGGTTGTCACTTGTCATAGTCGATCATTACATTGCGATTTCCTTATCTGGATTATAAGGCGTGAATACAAAGCTTAATAGAAGCTTTACCATTTTTATCATTTTAAAAGAAAGATTATCCAATCATAATTGTATAAAATTGGAAAATTTTATTAACGAACGATTCGAATTTTCTCTATTCTAATTTGTCATATTTTAGGGATTGTTTTGATTATTTAATCGGTAACACACATACTAAAACTTTAATGATAGAATATATGAGCCATTCCCAGTTACTTAGAGGGATAGACAATAAATAAATTTCTTTCCTTAAACGTAAAGTTACGATTGTCTATTGGTAAATAATCACAATAATTAAAAAAAACGAAATAATCAACGAAATCCATTAAACAATTTATTGGTTTGTCTATTATCATGAATAATGCAAATATGACGTAAGGAATGAATAGGAGGAATTCGAATATTGGAACTTTAAAACCAAGAATACTATAAGATAATCCAATCTTGAACTTTAAACCAAGAATATAATGATAATCCAATCTTGAACTTTAAACTAAGAATATATAAGATAATCTGTGTATATATATATATATACATATATATATTCGCCCAGTTTCCTTATTTATGGTTACTTTGGGTATATTGGTTATATTGGGAATCTTCTCCAAACAATGGACAAAATATTTAATTATCATCCCAAAAAAAAAAACAAAAATTCTTCTACGTTAAAAATACATTAGTCATCATAAATTCACAATAAATGAATAAATAAATAAATAAATAACAAAAATGTAGCAACAATCATAAAAATATGAACATTTTGGAACATTTTTTGCAACAATCATAAAAAATATGAATAATTTTATTTTTAAACATTTGGGATGAATCGGATAAGAAGAAAAAAAAAAATATTATTTTGCATATTTTGACATCATACGAAATATCAAATATGCCGAATATGCCGAATATGTCAGTTATGCCGTACCATATTTTATTGGCGATTTATTGATTACGATCCACGCTAAAATACGCGATATTGATCATTTTAATGTTACATTAACGTCCATTGTTTACAGAATTTTTAATTTTTAAAAAAAGCTTTAAACTTGAAGAGACATTATCTTGTTATCAGATACGTCATTTATAATTACGTATACAAAAAGACGAATCAGACGCGTTTAGGAAAATCCGTACTTAAAAAAACCAATGCACGACAATTAAATTGGTAAAAGATAGTACACAAATAAGAACCTTTTCTTTTTTGTTTATAGATTTTTTTTTTTTCTTTTTTAAAACAATCGAAAAAGAAGAAAATAGAAACTTGGAAATTTAGAAATTTTTTTTGTATAAATAATCTGAACGATAAAAGAAGAATTTTTTCAAAAAAAAAAAAAAAATTATATTATTTTATGAAAAAATTATGAAATATGAACAATTTTATATGATACTTACTTTTTTTTCCCGAGGTTGGAATTATTGAACTTTTTATTTTATATATTTACATAATATATATTTTTATATTATTTCTATTTATCTTTCTAATAATTTATATATTTTTCTTTTTAGTCTAAGATAAAAATTTAAGTTTTTGCGTCTATCATGGATTTTCCTTTGAAGATAAATACATTCGAGCTCGTTGATATGATTATGCTTGTTTTATTTCGTTCAAACATTAACCGACTTATTTAATCGACTTGTTCCGTTTCCGCTTCCGCTTCCGTGTAATAATTACCGGTGTTAATGTCTGAAAAAGTAAGTATATTCGAATTATCTTTTATATTTTTATATATTTTAATTAAATAATTTATTTTTTTTTTTTTTTTAGAAAAATTTTATTGATAAAATATTTTTCATTTCTTTTATAATTTATTTTATCTTACGTATTACGTTTTTATTTTTTTTTAATCGATTTTTAATAAAAAAAATGAAATATTTTTATCCATAAAAATTTTTGTACCGGTATTACTGCGCCAATTATTCCGATTGGTCCCTATTTTGAACTTGTCATCTTCAACGGAAGCTAATCTTTTATTAGTTAAACCCTAATTAAAATTATACTCCCAGTTTCATATTTGTCTCAGCCAAGACTCAATCTAACCAAATTTACAAATATTAAAAATTATGAGTCGCGTTATTAATTTAATGTTACACTCAAACTTTTGATTCCTCGTGTAATTTTCGTTTCGTAAAAATTGTTATAAATACGCAAACATTTCTTTTTCGAAAAAAAAAAATTTAAATTCAAATTTATAAAAAAAAATTCCAAAAAATTCCAAAAATTCCAAAAATTTCGAAAAAACTAAAAAACTTTAATAAACATGCGTTCATCATCAACTCTTGCTTTCCTCGCTGTCCTTTTCATCGCATTTACTTTGACTCTTGCTGAAGAAACTCAACAATTGGAACCCACTTCAATGTATAAACGTCAATATGGCAGCAGTTATAGTTCCTCTTCTTCGACAATTGAATTGTCATTCATAAGTTTTGCCATTATGTTATTCACATCTTTATTCGCTTTCTAATTTTTTTTGCGAATAAAATTTTTTTAAGAATAATTTATTTTAATCATTTTAGAAAAAATTTTGTAACACAAAGAAATATATATTGTTCTTTATTTAGATGTATAAACGATCAAATTTATAATAATTTTAATAATTTTATCAAATTATCCTAATTTATATTTTTCTCTACTTTTTCTTTATTTTTTTATTTTTTTCTTGCTAGTAAAGAAAATATTAAATAAAAATAAATGAAATAAATTAAATGAGTTTTATTTGTTCCCTAAATTTAATTAAGTTTGTTTCATCCAAATTTTAAATGTTATCCCCCATGAAATGTTTCATGTATGTTACCAAGATCATCAATGCACTTCTAGATGGAATTATATGATAGGATGATTAATGACAGATATATGCTATCAGTTTATGCGTAATTTTTTTAAGGGGAAAACGTTCAAATTACGACGTTACACTAGGAAAAAGTATGTCCGGAGAGATAAAAGTATTTAAAATATTAAAAATATTAGCAATTTTTTTGTGAAATTTGTGAAATGTGACGACGTAACGAAGTAACGTTTATTAATTATTTGTGAAACGAGAAGTTTAATTTTAATTTTGAAATGTGAATTGATCATTTACAGTGACTGACTGATCGCGTGTAGACGGAAATCTCCACGTGATCTTCGTTTCTCACAAAGTATTTTTAGAGTCCTCCCCGCTTATAAAACTTACGTCACATATATTTCACGTGATAAGTTAACAACTTTTCATGGCCGAATTACTAGAATTACTAAAATTACTATAATGTTGGTCAATACTTTCATCCCGCATAAATGATTTACCTTCTTGTTGCACCCGTTGACCGTTGCAGGCAATGCAGTGGCACTGCCTGTGACACTACTATAAATCGAACAAATTGATTTTTAGTAAGAAGTTTATCCTAGTTACAACAAACAAATAAACCTGNAAATCTTATTTATATTTTACGAAAATGGGTAACAAGTCAATTTATTTTTTTGCAGATAATGTTTATAAACCAATAAAAAAAAAAAAATTGTAAATATGTTTCAAAATTCAATATAATATAATTCTTTTTTGTTTCGATATAAGAAAATATCAATGAAAATATTTATGTATGTAATTTATGTAACTTTTAATTATTTAACAAAAAGGAAGTATTAAAATACAGAAAAGAAGAAGAAAAAAAAAAAAAAATACAATTCGCCACAATTCCCGAATTAAGAAATAATACAAGTTTTCTTTTGTTTCAAATGTTGTTCACCACCACTCATTATTAAATATTTTACACCTGTTGAAGATTTATCTCTTTTCTTTTCCTCATAAGCAACCAATAGTGCATCAGCCTTAATTGAAACATATTTCAACATGCCAATCGCATAAGAGATTCCTATATTATCATTTAATTCATTTGTACCAGAAAATTCAGTTTTAGGTATTTTTTTTTTATTCTTTTGTAATAAGGAAGAACTCCATGATCCTTTACTTGATTTACAACCATCTATAGGTGTAATTAATTTTCCATTTGTAACATAATAACACGGTGAAATGTCATTTGTATGAGAAATGTCCGAATCAAAAATATATATTCTAGCCTCCTTTTCTTCCGATGTTGCTCCCCATCCCAAATATGTTATACAAGAATTTAATGGTTTATTATTAAACACACCCCCACCACGTAATTTTAATCCTAATGGAGCATGATTAAATTTATATGATGATGATGGTTTTTGATAAATTGAAAATATTGAATTTAAATTTTCGGTATTTAAAGATTTAAATCCCAAATCAAATGCGTAATAAACTTGTGATAATTCGAGTAAATCGTATCTTGACATGTACACCTTAATAAAGAATAATTTAATTTAATTGGTTTATTATATTTTGATAAAAAAAAAAAACTTTGTCTTTATGAATTATGAATCTACTTACCAATAAACGTTTATCGGAATCTAAAAATACATTATTAAACCTTTTTACAATTATTTTTTTTATTTCATGATTTACATTACGAGAGACAACAGAATATCTGCATAATAATCTAGTTGAAAGATTATTAAATATTTCAGAAATAATTTCAATAGGTAAAATCATTTTTTTTATTTGTATATTATTATTATTATTTTAAAAAAAAACCAGTTTTTTTTTTTGAAAAAATAAGTTGAATTTGAGAGATGATATTAAGAGAATATTAATTTTAATTATTTCTATTTTTTTAAATATTTTTTTAAAAGAAGAAAAAAAAAAAAAAATAGATGTACTGTGTATGTATATATACAAAATGTATGTATATGTATAATAATATTATATAGTAAATAAATCTTTTTTTCTAAATTATCATTGAAAAACCAATAACTTTTAATCTTAGATCACAACGTGGATGTAAGGGGCTACCATCTAAATATATAAATGTTTTTGTTTGTATGCTATTAATAAATTTAGGTATGTCGTACATCTTTATTCTTTGATGTTCGTCATCATTTCTAAAAATCTCCAATTAAAACCATTTCTTCTTTTTTAAACCAATGAATTACCTGTTACAAAAATCTTAAACTTTATTATTAAAGATTTACAATTGTTTTTTATATGTACTTCAGTTAATTATATGTACTTCAATTAAGGATTTTCCTATTAGTGAGAAAATTTTTCGCGTCCGTAACACATATTAAAAAAAAATCGTCAATCCCGTATTTCCCGTTTTTCATCATGTTATTTTTAAAAAATGTTCATCTGATCAAAAGATTCAAGTCACAATTTTTTTAATCAAAGGGAGTTTTTATTCCGGTTTTTTTTTTTACTCCGATTTTATTCCGAAATCATAAAAAAAAAGGAATATTCATTCCGATACCAAAAAATTTTTATCAAATAAACCTGTACATCCCATACAATAACATGTAATACCGGTATGTTATAATTATTATCTTCCGATGAAAAATAAAAAAAAAAAGTAACTATCTAAATATGGATATATTTAAAAAAACGACTTTTTTTTTTCACATGAATATATTATTTTTCGTTTTTAGGATAAAAAAAAAAAAATCAAGTATTACCGATTATACCGATTACCCGCGAAAAAAAAAAGAACCAATTAAAAATGATTTCTGTTAAAAGTTTCATACTTTCATCGTTTTTCATTCGATTAATTAATTTTTCACACGACAAAATATATATATAAATTTGGATAATACTTTCCTTAAACAATTTGTTTACACGATTTCTTAAAATCAAGTTTTTTTATTTTTGTAATACCAAAATAAAGTTTCAATAAACATTCTAATTATTGAAATGGGGGTTATAGCCTTATAAAGTATGTTATTAACAGATATTATGGAGATATTATGGAGATATTATGGAGATCGGTCGAAATCCGATATCCCCAAATTATTATACCCCGCAGTCGTAAATCGGAAAATAATGAAATAATAAATAATAAATCGGAAATAATAAATTCGGAAATAATTAAATCGGAATTACATAAATAATAGATTATAAAATTATAAATCGGAAATAATAAATCGTGAATCATAAATTGTAATAAATTGTTAATAATATAGTATTTTATTGATTTCTATTAAATTTAATAATGTAATAATGTATAATTATTGTACAAGTTTTTATCATCGCTCATAAAGTTCACCATTTTTTTTTTCTTATAAAAACCTTAAATTGTTCCTAAAGTTTTCTTTTACAAAATCACTTCCTTTAATTCCAGCACCTTGAGTCGTTCCTAAAGTTCATTCTTTTACAAAAGTCACTTCCTTTAAAGAATCGCTCCTAAAGTTCACTTTAATTTCAACACCTTGAATCGCTCCTATAGTTCATCACTTCCTTAAAATCCCCCCCCTTTACAAAGTACCTTCAATCGCTCCTTTAATTGTCGCAACAACAAGATAAGTATCTAATCCAAGAATAATAAAGCTAACTATACTAGCAAGTATAATTATTACCATAGTATTACGGAATATTACGTATGGACTTGATTCCTTTTGTTCTATAGTTATTCTAGTATCATCATCATCATCATCATTTTTATTATTATTATTTTCTTCAACTCTTAAATCATCATCATTTGTTTCAACTTTTTTAAATGCATCTCTTACATTAACTTTCATACATTTTTTACTACTAGTAAAATAAACTAAAGGTATAACAGCGAAAGGAAGTTGAATACTTAAAGCAACTTGACTAGCAACCAATGTATCATTTAAACCATTTTCACCACTAACTATAGCTATAATCATAGCTGGTACAATAGCAAACATACGAGTTAAAAGTCTTCTTACCCAAGCACGAATTTTCCAACCCATAAAACCTTCCATAACAATTTGTCCTGCTATAGTAGCTGTTAAAGTAGAACTTTGACCTGCTATTAATAAAGCTAAAGCAAAAATTGTACCAGCAGGAGTTCCAAGATATCTTGTTAATAAAGCATGAGCATCAAATAATGTTGCAACATTTTCTTGAGAATTTTTATAATAAAAATTTGATGCCGCTACTATTAAAATTGATGAATTAACAAATAAAGCAAAAGTTAAAGCTACAGAAGAATCTATTACTGAAAGATTCATTAATTTTGTTATAATTGATTTAAAGGTTTTTATATCTGTTCCAATATCTTGTCCTATTTTATGATTATTATTTTCTAATTCTTGATCTTTTCTTACTTTGACTAAATGTGAATGTAAATATAAATTATGTGGCATAACTGTAGCACCTATAATTCCTATAGCTATATATAATTGTTCAGCATTTGTAAAAATTCCTGGACTAGGTAAATAACCTTTTAAAACATCAGTAGAATTAGGTTGAGAATAAACCAATTCTAAAAGAAAACATATTCCAACAGCTCCTACTAATAACATTACAAGAGATTCCAATATTCGAGATGCTTTCATACTATTATCACGATAAACAAATAATATGATCATGACGTCTAAAGCTGTAATTGCAACTCCCCAAGGTAAAGGTAAATTAAATAACATTTTAAGAGCGATTGCACTTCCAATAACTTCTGCTAAATCTGTAGCAATGATTGCGCATTCACATAATGCGTAAAGAAAATAATTTAGATATTTAGGGAAAAAATGTTTGCAAGCTTGAGCCAAATCTATTAAAAAAAAAAAAAAAAAATTTTAATAATTTCATCATTTAAACCGGAATCAAAACTGGACATATAATTTAACTTACCCATTCCTGTAACGACACCCAATTTAATCGACAAACTTTGTAATAACATGGCAAACAAATTAGAACAAAAGATGATGAATAAAAGGGAATAACCAAATCGTGAACCGCCTTAATCAAAAAAAGTATTAATGTAAAAAAAAAAAGAATATATATATAAAACGAATATTGGTAAAAAAGAAGAAAAAATACCGGTAAGGTCAGTTGCCCAATTACCAGGGTCAAGATAACCGACCGCAATAACTAAAAATCATCAATATTATTAATATTATCAAATCCTTAACCAACTTTTCCTTTAAAAAATAACTTTTTTAACTTACCATAACCTGGACCCACAAATCCTAAAAATTTTTTAAAATTTGCTAAAAATGTGGATAATTTATCTTTAACGTTTTGATTCTTTTTAACTTTAACATTATCTTTAGTCGCTACATCGAATTTTTCATCTTTTACAGATCCAAGATTTCTTGTAGGGTCGTTAAGAGAATTATTAGATATATTTGAATTGAAATCATATTCTTGTAATTGAGATACAACCAAACTATCTTTTGTCGGATAATTCATGATTGTAAAAAATATTTCTATTTCCCTTTTTGTGGTAGATCCATAAATTTGAGGCCGAATGTTCCCTATTTAAATAAATTTGAGTAAAATATAATTAAGGAAATTCTACTGGATTGATCGTTCTAATTTACCTCGAAAGGAAAGGGCAAAAGTTAATTGTACTTTAAAAACGGAATAACTCGGACGCAATTTACCAAAATGGAACTCGTGGAGATTGTTACACGCTTTATGATCAATTAACGGAAAATTACGGAGAATTTACCATAAAATGATGCCTCATTCCGACGTAATTTTAATATTGGGGGAATTTTCCCATGTTCTAGACGAAAAAAATTTAACGCCCCAACAAAACAAACTAATCATTCTCTACATTGTTTACTTTTGATTCATTATTTTGTGACACTTGTGACACAAAAAAGTAATATCATAGGTTTATACGAACCTTTAAAATTAAAGATTAACTGATAAGGTACACATAACAATAGGGTTAAATAGGGTTGAAGAAAATTTTCACACGCAAATAAATTACATAAAAAGTGAGGTAAAGAAGATAATGTAATTTTACAATCAAAATTCGCTACGATAGAAAGTTCCTTGAAGAATTCCTAGATTAACTACCCCAACCTTAAATTTTTTTATTTTTTGGAGCGAATAAAGATAACAAGAATATCTCGTTCTAGCTCTTAACTACAAGATAATTATATTTAAGGGCATGATATTCTGAATTTATTTGAATTTATTTTTGAATTTCTTTCAGCATATTTCAGCATAAAAATTGTGAGAATAAAAAAACTGTGAGAATAAAAAAAAAACTTGCAGTGATTACATATTTAAAAAATGAAAACTGTTATAAAATTTATCCATTTTATTTCATAGTTATTGTATGTAATACAAACCGTAATAACTTATAAAATATTACGTCACTAATATTAGCATTATATGACGATGTTTTTTTTAAAATAAAAAAAAATTGTTTTGCTAATGATCTTTTTATTATAAACAAAAAAACACTTTAATTCTAAAGACATAAACATTGATCATTTTGAATTAAAAATTTTTTACTTTCAATTAAACCATTTTAAAATTTTTTTATTCCAACGTAAATGTTTACGTTTCATCCGTTATTATTTCGTGTAACAATCAACCTTACCTACAATTGGGCTAATATTGGGTGAATGCAGGACAGTTTTTGGGCTTCCTACGAATTAAAAATTAAAATTATACGATTAACATACGGTCAAATCATTTATCCGCAAAAAAATAAAAAAATTGGAAAGAATTTTGTGAATTTGGTTATAAAATTTATAAAATCATTTTTGGAAATACCCAACCCATTGAAAATAATTATATTATTGTACAAATATACAAATTATTTTTCCATTGTGTAATATAAATCGGAATAGTAGAAATTCCACTCGAAATAAGGCAATCAAAAAGAAAAGGTTTTTAATTTTAATTTACATATATTATTATGTTTAATGTTAAACAATGGCGCAATAACAAATTGATTAACCCGTTATTCGAATATTAGAATCTTGGACTTTTTAATGATGATCTTTTTTGATATATATGTATAATATATATATATTATTGTCATTTTTTTTTTTTGCTGCCTTAAATGTAATTTGATAATAATCATTACACAGACTTAGCCCAAATTTTTATTAGAAGAAAAAATATTATTATAAAAATCTAGATTTTTCTGCGGATTATAAAGGGACATGTTTCCTTATTGTTCTTTGAAGTTCATGATCCAAAGGGATCGACATATGTAATTTGCCGCCACTTTTTTTCTGTAATGCCCGTATGCCCATCTTTAGCCCTCACGTAATAAAAAATTAAATGTCTTATGTAAAAAAATTTCGGATATTTATTAAATTTATCATTTTTTGAAAATATTTATTATTATTATTATTTTTATTCATTCATTGTTTTTTTTTTTTTAAGAACCCACCTAATCTAAAATGCCAAAGCACCGAAGTAAGTTAAAGAACGAAAAATTCTTTTACTTTTTGTCTTTTTTCCTCATCGGCCGTTCCTTTTCGAAAAAAAAAAAACATTTGATTTTGATTCGTTATTTATAACTTTAAAAAAAAAATTTGCTTGATTCTCTTTGGTTCATTATATTCATTATCTCAAAATTATAATTTATTCTTGTTTTTGCTTGAAAAATAAAAATATAAATAATATAAATAAATAAGTATATACATATATTTATTTATATATTTTTAGAACAGATAAGAAATATATTATGATTTTAAAGTATTATTGAGATCTCTTATCAGGAATTTTGTGATTGTGATCGAGCAATACAATCAATTTTTTTTATTGTTTTGTTTGTTAGGAATATCTTATTGAACGTGACCTCACAAGACCTCACTCGAGATACGTTGTCTACTTGTCTTACTTTATTTGGATTTTAAAAAAGTTACTCACGAAAATGTGACAAAATCCAAAAAAATAAGTGAATAAAAAAATTTTTCTTATAAAAGACCCTTGTAATCCCCCAAGTATCTTATTAACAATTTTTTTTTTTTTAAAAAAAAAATAATAATAAATAATAATAATAATAAAAAATGGGTCTAATAAATACAAAAGAAGACTACGCCTCTTCACAAATTTCTAATGAAAAACCATTCCAATTTCCTATTTTTAAAGAAAATGAAAATGATGATTCAAATACTGAAACATCAGTTTTAATTAATGACCTTTTAAATGAAGCAGGACGTAAAATGAGATCTTATGAATATGATCGGGCTGAAGAAATTTTAAAATTGGCTACCGAATTTGGTTCTCCGTATTCCGCAGCAAAGTTGGGTTATATTAATCTTCGAGGTTTAAACTCCTCTCAAATTCCGAATTACGCGTTATCAGCAGCTTATTATTTCATTGCATTAAAATTTATTATTACTATTCCAAATGCAGAATGGAATGTAAATCTTATTCTTGAAATTATTGAAGATTTGACTCAATTATATCGTTTTCATTTTAATTATAAACGTGATTTACTCATTTGGAAACATGGAATTAAAGTGATGAAATTTATTGACAACAATTTAAGAGATCTTACTTTAATGAGTAAAGAAATTCAAAAGATTAAAGCTTTAAGGATTCATATCGCTTTTTGTATTGCTTTAACAGCTGAAATTGAGGGTAAAATTACTGGTGATTATAAGGAAGCAGTAAATTGTTATCATAAATGTGAAAAAGTTGGTCCATGTGAATTGAAAGTTGCCGATAAATTGGTTAAAAAGGCGCATACCAAATTCCGTTTGTTAGAACCACGTGTACCTCGTGTACAGCCAATTTGTACGTCTTGTAAATTTGAAGCAAAAGATTTAAAAAGTATATGGAATTTATTAGTTTGTTCAAAATGTCAAGTTGTAGCTTGTTGTAGTAGAGAATGTTTAAAAAATCATTTAAAATTACATTAGTAAAAAAAGAAGAAGAAAAAGAAAAAAAAGAAAAAAAAAAATTGTAATTTTCCAAATTATGAAAAAAAACTGTTTTTTTCAACATATTTTGTGTAATATATTTTCGCATTCAACTTTAACGTTTTACAAAATAATAATAATAATAAATATTGTGCATTCACACACTTTTTTTTTTTTTTTACTTAATATGTTTTTAATTGTCTCACAATTACAATTGTTGGGTAGTAGGTCATTATAATTTATTATAATAACTGTTAATGGAATTTTTTGGGTTCCACAAAATAAATTTAATTGAGCATTGAGGCTGATCAATGAAATTTCCAAAAGTAGCATTTGATTTCGGTAAAAAAATAAAAAGGTTACATACCGGATCTTTTTATATATATAAAAAGAAAGATGATAAATTAGCATTTGCGCAATACGGTCAAGTTGAATTACATGATAATGTTACAAAATATTCTTTATTAATATATTAATTTTTTTTTTTTTTGAAAATCATGTGCAGATGTGCTTCTAAATCTATAACCGACAGATAATCTGATAAAAATTAAAATTTCTATGAAATTGTACGACATCATCTTTTTTTAAGCCCCTAAAAAAAAAAAAGAAAAAAAAAAAAATTTTTTTTCTTTTCTTTCTTCATCGATATTTCGATACCTCATCATAAAAATGTCACCATCATCATCGTCGTCATCAATAACATCATCATCATCATCAACAATTAAATCATCATCATCATTACCTTATCTATGTTTACGAGAAATATTCGAATTCGCATTACAAAGTAAATCAGGATTACTTTTCTCATGTATTTTAGTTTGTAAATTTTGGAATGAATTGGCAATTCCAATTTTATGGAGGGATCCATTTTATAATCTTCATAATCATAAAAAAATAACACATCTTTTAGATGTTTATCTTTTTAATTTTACTTTAAAAGAATTAAAAAATTCAAATTTACCAACAAAATTAATTGAAGATTATAATAATAAAAAAAGTTCAAAATATAATTATGCGGAATTTTTACGTAGATTAAATCTTACACAAATTCGAACTGCGACATCATTTTGGATAAAAAATAAAAAATATAAAGATATTTATAAAGATATTATTAATCCAAAAGATTGTCAAATATTTCAATCATTTTGTAATCATTTTATTAAACATTCTAAAAATATTAAATATATAGAATTTGAACCTGAATATAATTCTTTATTTGATTTTAATTTATTTGAATTACCAGGAGCTGAAATTAGTCTTACTAATTTAAGTAAATTTTCATGTTATGGGGAACCTTATAATATAAATTTATATGAAAGTGCATCAAAAATTTCAACAAAAATTCAAGATTTAAAAATCATATTATTTTATGGATGTCCAATTAATCCTTCAACTTTAATTAATATATCAAATTTTATAAGATCACAACATCAAATTAAAGAATTCTTTATAGATAATAGAATTGGATGTGATTGTTGTACACATGATCTTTCTTTAGCATTAGATTTAACAATAATTTTTAAATCTTTAAATACTCAAATATCAACTTTATCACGTATAAATTTTATTTCAATAGATTTTCATAATAAATTTCCTTTTGATCAATTATCAAAATGTGAAAATCTTTTAGAATTAAATATTAAAGGATGTTGGAATTTTGGAGATATTAATTTAATAGATTTAAATTATAATTATAATAATTCATCATTTAAGAATTTATCAGATTTACAAATTATTAAAAGTTCAATACCTGAAATATTAATAAAAATTTTATTAATACAATCAGGAAAATCATTAAAAAATTTAAAATTTGAACAAACTTATTTAGAAGAAATATTTACAGAAATTCTTATTTATTGTATAGAAAATAATCCAAATTTAGTAAATGTTTTAATTTATATAGATTCTAAAGAAATTCAATATTTACCAAAATTTTTAAGATCTTCAACAAAACTTAATAAACTTGAAATTTGGGATAAAAGTATGAGAAGAAAAGAAATGGAATTACTTGAAATTATTAATTTAGATGATGAATTATTTTCTGATATAGGAGAATCTTTACCTATTAAGTTAAAAGATTTAACCATTAATATGAAATGGAATTTTAGTATTAAATCTTTTGAAAATTTTATAAAAAATTGTAAAGCTCCATTAGATATATTAAGTTTTGAATTTTGTGAATGTTTTGATAATGATTATTTTGATATTCTTATAAAGAATTTAAAAAGATCATTAAAAAAATTAAATATTAGATATTGTAAAGCAAAATTAAATTCAGAAATTCGTAAGAAAAATGAATATTTAATTCAACAAATTGATTCATGACTGGGAATTGGTTGGGAATTGAGGATCGGGGATCGGGGATCGGGGATTGAAGATTGAGGAGGCATACTGTAGAGAGTGATTAGCATTATCTGTTATTAGTATTGGTGCTTATTAGTATTATTAACAAAATAAAAAATTATTATTATTATTATTATTAGCATTATTGTGTTAATAAACTTAATAAATTTTTTTATTAATTTCATTAATGTGTAATATAAATTGCAGAAGATTACCGTTCTGATGTGCGAGAAATAATATTATTAAGCGTTGTATATTGTTGTATATTATTTAAACTAATTTTTTGCTCATCACCGATAATTAAATTACTAAATTAAAACAATATTAAAAAAAAGTTGATTTATTAAAATATATATTATAATACGAAAAGTATAATGATATATATTTATTTTTATTAAAATTTATACTTATAATACGAAAAATACTAAAAGTATATTAAAATTTATATTATAATGAATAAATTTATTATTTATATATTTGTAATCAGTTTAATTTAATTTATATTTTTTATACATAAGATATAATATTTTTATTTTTAACATACCGACGGAACATCAATAATCTACTAAACTAGCCTAACGCTATTTGTATCCAGACCTCACGTGTAATATCCTGTTGTAAAATGTTTGTCGGCGAAATGGTCTCGGGAATGCGTTCCTATTTAAGTAAAGGTCTAAAAGGACATAATTCCGGTAAAAGTTCCGGTAGTTCCGCCGGTTCCGGCAGTTCCGGACCTTGATTACAAATGCAACATTATAAATATGGTTGCATTAAAATCTTTTTTTTTTTTTTTTTTTTTTTGTTTAAAAAAAAACAGACTTTTTAAAACAATAACATAAACCTTTATATATAAAAATTTCATTTTTTAAAATGTGCTTTGTAAGTTTTTTTTAAATTTTTATTCGCATTTTATTGTTTTATTATTTATTATTTTTGTTTTATCTTTTTAATTTATAGGCTGTAACTTGTCAAACCTGTAATAAACAAACTTGGCAGGGATGTGGAAAACATGTTGAGTCAGGTAATTTTCATTTGCTACAAGCCATTAATGGATTTGAAATAATTTTTTAATTTATTCGAATTTCGAATTTGAATAATTTGAATATAGTTATGAGTAAAATACCAGTTGAGGATCGTTGCACCTGTAAAAGAGATGACAATAAAAAACCAGGTACACCAATTGTAACTATAATGATTGGATTATTATTTATATATTGGTGGTTAAATTGGTAACAAAAAATTTCTTATTTGGAAAATTTTAGAAACTGAAAAAAAAACCGAACCTAAAAAGGTGAATAAATAATTATATATATTATTTATTTCCCTCAGAAAATAATTGTTATTATATTTTATTATTATAAAATGATTTCTTTGTTCATCATAATTATGTAATTTATAATAATCATTATTAATAAAATTTTTAAGAAAATATTAAGGTTATAAGCACCATACATAATTGGAATTCTTCATATACAAAAACAATTAATAAAATTTTTGTTTCATAAAGAAAAAATAAAAATAATAATAATATTTCTTTGATATAATAGGTAAGTTCTTTCGAGGTTATAATTAGAAATCATCAAAAAATTTGGTGAAACTATTTATTGAAATGAAACAAATAATCATTATTTTGTTCGAGAACGAAAGATCATATAACAAAGAAAATTTGTTATTATAATTTTTTTGATTTTTTGAAATGATTTGTCATAAGGAATTAATTCCGTATCATTAAAAGTATTATGAAGGAAAGATTCTCCCTATGACGGATAAATTCCCTATGACGAAAATAAGGAAACGTTCGAACGAAACAATATGGATTATATTAAATTATTTAGGAAATGTATTGATTATTAAACGAACTTCTGGATGCGGTTGATGCGGTTGTTTTCTTTTCAGATTACGGAAATTTCCGCTGACTTGGCATGTCACAACTTATTTTGTGATACGGCACGCTTGACATGCTGTTCAATATATTTCGACTTTATGGAAATTTGTATTACCTTAAGTAAATAATGAATTTCTCAAAAAGAAGATAAGACAATAAATTTTTATTCTTTGTGGAAAGATACGATTGACGTAAGATCGCTTTCGACGTCATTCCCAGTAACCACTTTAAACTATGTTTTGATTTGATTATCTGAATTTAAATTTAAAGAAATGTAACAGTAAAACACAAATAAAAATTCAAAAAAAGAAACCTTGTATTTTAATGACAGAACGTACGATTTTGTAACAAAAAAAAAAAAAAATTATATATATATAAATACATGTATTAATAATAAAGTTTAATATACTTTTTTTGACTCTTTTTAAAATATTTCCTTTAGACTTCATGGTTCATTCGATCTATTTAAATTCTTTTTCTGTAATACTTAATGTCGATTATTCTTTGAATGAGCTACTCATTTCTTTCCCCTTTTTTCTTTTTATTTATAATATATATACACACCAATAATATTTTTTCTTAAAAAGGACGAATAACGATACATATTAAAATATTATTTGTTCGTAATGAATCACTCATATATTTTATTGTTGATTCTTTCATTATTAGTAAATAAATGTTATTCAATTTTAAAATTATATGATAATTTTAATAATGAATTGGCCACTTTTTATAATGTTGATTTTCCAAAAATTGACAATGCAAGTTATTCAGAAATAAGAGGAAAGTTATTTATCGCTTCTTTTGATAATGTTGATAATCCATGTAAAATTTCTGTAATACCGAGTAATGTTGATGTCTTATTCGTCCCGTTTCTACAAGCATTAAACCTAGGATGTAAAAGTTACGAAAATATTTTATTAAGGTATTAATATAAAATTTTATTAATGTTTTTTTCACGCGTTTTCTTTTTAATTTATTTAATTTATTTTTAGTAATTCTTGGGCAAAATCCCAAAATTCCACGGATTTGTCGGATCATGATATAAATATGTATAAATCTGTTGCAACTAATCCAAAACTTATTCCACGAAATCCAATTATCAAATTATCAAATACTTTATTGTCTACATCTATTATTTCAAATCCAAAACAAGTTATCATAGAAACTGACAAAGATTGTAAAGGATTTGGGCTTATCTTTGAAATTCTCAGAGAATTTGGAGTGAAATTTAATGAATTTACGGTTAAAATTAAAAATCATATCAAAAAAGTTTCCAAAAAAATTGAAGATAAAGTTAAAGAATTTATTATTAATCAGAAAAGAGATGTAACGAGTTATACACCAAAGATAATAATTTTTCCTTCCTCTCATAATGGAATTCCCGGTATAAGAGAACAATATAATGGGAATATTAATATTCTTAAAACCTCAACTCTAAGTCTAACATTATTAAGTAATGAAGATAGTGATAAATTAATTGAAATTGCAAATGAAATTACCTATGTAGAAATAACAACAGATCAAGGTCCATGGATAACATTTTTGAAAGGTCAACCTTGGAAAACCTTTTCAATTATATTGGGCGTATTTTATTTATTGTTTGCTATGCTTATGATGTTCTTATTTCCAAGAACATATATGAATTTGGGTTGTGCTTTGCTTAATCCAAAATTTTGGGTTTATCCAGGGTTAGGAATTACTTGTGCATGTAAATATTATAGTTTTTTTTTCATTGGCTTGTGCGACCCATAACTTCACTCTTGTTAACATCTCTCCTCTCTGGCTCTCTCCTATAGGTTCATTCGTAATTCTTGAAATAGATCCTGGTGATATTGAACAAGATAAAATTTCAATATTTACAAGAGAAATTTTATGTGACATAAAAAGTTTTTTTCTTACAATATCATACACAATATTACACATTTCATGGTGAGCAGTACTTGATCATTATTTAAATTTATTAAAATTTCTAATCCTTTAATCCTTATTAAATTTAATAGGAAAACTGTATCCAAAAAGATATGTATAGAAAAACGATATTATTCATTTCCTATCATTCACACTATCTATAAGATTATTCAACCAATATCAGCTTTAACATTTATAGTATGTTTCATATTACGTGCAGTTTATGAAAGCAAATCAAAGTTAATGACAATAAATTTATTGAGAATTGCGTATATTATGGAATCAATTGCTTTAGGATTAATTGGATTAGGATTATTTTTGTTTGGAACTTTTATAATTTTGGCATTGAAGAGATTACAAAGAACTGAAAGAAATAATTATTTAAAGGTAATTTTCTAATAATAATGTTTCTTAAATTTTGTAAATTTTTTTTAATTTTTGGTTTAATTTTTTTTTAGATCCTATTTATAACATTACTCCTGGTAATCTCGATCGTCTTTTATATCGGAAGTAAATATTTTACATTTTTGGTACTTACAGTTGAAAATTTTAAATTAGATCAGGTTAGTAATTTCACATAAATAAAATATTCTTTTTAATTTTTTTTTAATTTTTTTTAATTAATAATTTATCCTTTTTAATAGATTTCGAATAATGTTATGATAGTATTTTGTTGTTTAACAATGATTTTTGTTCTCGAAGATAAACTTATTGGACATTACTTACCATCGAACAGAGATGATATTTTAAATCCTCCTAATTTAATTGCTTTAACTTTAATAACATCATCAGATGTACCTTCCCAACCTCCTCCACAATCACCAGTAACTGATACAACTTTAGTAGCCAATAGTGATGAAGTCATCACGAATGTTTAAAACATATTATGTAATTAGTTATTATTTATTTATTAATTTATTTATTATTTAATTGTAAAAATTTTAATCCCTCGCAATTTGTAAATTTTCTCAATTATTTCTTAATATTATAAATGGCATTTGTTAAAAAAAAAATTTTCGATCTTGTATTACGTCATTTATCAGTATAGTATGATGCATTATTACGTAAATACTAAAAAGTCTAAAAGTTTGTTAAAATGATTTAAAGAATTAAATAATTCGATAAGATAATCAATGAAATCCCACACTCTCTTAATTTTCTTACATATGTTTGAGGGAGTTGAGACAACAGCTAGACTTGGCGTTAAGACAAGGCGAATTATGGAATCATTTGGAGAAACAATCGTGAGAACACATGAAGAAACAAGAGCGATTAGAGTGATTACTAATCGAGTTCAAAGAATGGTTCAAAATTTATATTATCGTGTAATTCGATCTTTCAAAGATATATTTCAAAGTACTCCAAGATGGTTCCGGATATGTTTAATGATATTATATGAAAAAGGACGACAATATCCACCGATAGTTGATTTTTTTCGTTCTTTTATCATATTCTTTCTTATTCCTTTTACTTTATTCATATCATGGAGTATTGGATCAATTCTGTTTTCTGGAATTGCTTGTATGTATATGGGTTCGGGAGTTTATGATTTATGGAGCGTAGCGAATTAATATATATATAAATCATTTTTTTTTTTAAAAAAAAAGTCGCAGCTGCATGGACTACATTTAATATCTTCTCAATAATTACTGGCTTGATATCCATCTTTCCGTTTTTTGTTCTTGCTTTATTTTTTGCCTTTATTACAACTTTTGTTACCAACATCGGACGGCTAACAATCATTTTCGGTAAATATGTTTATCGAGCGACTTTGACATTTTTTCGGAATCATATTAGGATTGGTATTGGTCAAGAGATTTATAGGAGGAGCACAACCACGGCCATTCAGAATGCCTAAGGAATTACAAATCGCGACACCTAGACCATTACAAATACAACATCCAATATTTCCGACAAATCCTAAAAGATCATGGAAAGAAAGATTTATTTCATATATTCGTCACTTATCTTCAGCGTTTCTTATTGAATTATATAATTTTTTTAGGATGTTTTGGTTATTGTGGGTTTGTTGGTCAATAATATTTTTCGTGTTAATTAATTGGATTTTTAATCTCTTAATACCAGCAATTTCAAAGAAATATGATTTATGAAAATATTGAAATTATAATCTCACTTTTTTTTTTAGATATTACTGATATTTTTTTATTTTTACTATTACTGCACAATTTTCAAAATTCACCTGTAAGTCGCGCTTCACATTATATGCTATATGGCGTAGAATAGTCATTTTATTTTCTTGTGATTTACATTTTTATGTCTATAAATGGAATCCTTACACATATGAAAAAAGATACCTTTTTTTTTTACTCTTTTCTTTTTACCATAGTTATTTTTTTAATCAATCTTTATTATTTCTAAAAACAAAACAATAAATAAATATATATATATGTATAATAATGAATTATTGCATTGTATAAAAAAGAAATTATTATTATTATATTATTTACCCTTGATAAAAAAAAAAAAAAGGTTTATCATATATAAATTTATTTAATTCTTTATATATATAATATTTTCCTTTTTTACGAAAAATTATTCTTCAAAATGTCAGAAGTTAATGAAAATAGTCATGTTATTTCTGATGAATCTTCATTTGAAGAACAACAAATTGACCAAAATAATTCTAACGAACGTACAGTTGAAACACAAGAACCTTCAAATCCTTTTCATAACGATTCTACAATAGAAAATACTTCACAAGGATTTTTTATTACGAGTCAAATTGATCCTACAATTGATAATGAAGCTGAACAAGGAGCAATTTTAAAAGCAAAATATGATGGTCTTGATAATAATCAAAGATTAGAAATTGCAAAACAAATTCTTGGTGAAACTGCTGTAATTGGAGAAATTGTAAAATCTTACGCTCCTTTGATTACTTCTCTTAATGAAGCTATTAGAAGAATTTATAATTCTTATGAATATGCTCAATTTAATAAACAAATAAGTAATGCTTTACTTGATAGAATAGATTGTGTTGGAGCACCTATTAAAGCTTTAAAACGTCATAAGGATAAAATTGAAGAAAATTTTCTTAATCAAGATTATTATAATTCTTTAATGAAACTTCTTGCAATAGTAAAAAAAGCTCAACATTTTATTACTGATATTTCTTATCTTTGGAGTTTACGAAAATTTCAAACTACAAATGCTATCAAAGAAAGATTTGAACGGATCGCTAAAGAATTTGATCAAGTGATTGGTGAAATGCCTTTAGAAGTTTCTTTGGATAATGAATTACAAAAGATAAAGGATGAAAAAGCTATTGAACATGATATTGCGTTACTTGACAAAGTAAATTATATATTTTTTTTATTTTCATTAATATATATATATACATATATTTATTTTTAACAAATTTCTTTAATTTTCTCTTTTTTATAGTTTTTGGAAAAGATTGGATCACCTGTAACCACTTCTAGACAACAAGTTAGTCCTATATTTGAAGAAATTATATTGATCAAATCATATGTTAATGAAAATAATGGAAATGAAATTAAAACAAAATCGGTTACTCCAGCTGAACTAGTTAATAATGTTAATCCTGGGATAAATACTCAACGTGGAAATGTAAGAAAGAGATATTGGTTAAAAGAAAAAGTTCCGGTCGCATGTAAACGATTTGATACTCCACAAACTCAAAAATTTCAAGATTTACTTATTGTTATGAACAAATTAAGTAATTGTCCTTACCTTTTAAAATTTCATGGACTTTCTGCATTAGAATGGGAACCTTTAGAAAGCACGATAATGGTTTTTGAATGGGTTGGAAGGGATAATTTGAAAACGATATATGAAAAATATTCAATTAGTTGGTCAACTAAGTTAGATATTGCTGTTGGAATTTGTCGTGGACTTATATTCCTTCATGGTAGTGATATTCTTCATTATGATCTGAGATGTGAAAACATATTTGTAAGTATGATTATCAACACTTTTTTTAAAAATTATCCAAATTTTTACTTAGTATATATATACGATTATTTTATAATAAAAAAAGTTAACAGAAAATCTAGAACCAAAGATTGCGAACTTTCGACTTTGTCGTCCCAATCATGATGAAAAAAATTATATCCGTCATGATGATCCTATTGAACATTGGGCATCTCCTGAACATCTTAAAAATGATTTAAGGCTGAGTTACTATACCGCAAAATGTGATATATTTAGGTAAATTCTTTCATTTTCTTAATAATATTTAATTGAATTACCTTAATTACCTTACTAAAAAAAAAAAAAAAAAATTTTTATTATTTATTTAGTTTTGGGATGTTACTTTGGGAACTGTTTTTTGAAAGGATTCCATATCGAGGTTGGAATGCTAAGAAGATATCGAGTCATGTACAGGATGGGAAAAGGGAAAACATAGACTTTGGTCCTAATCCGACACGTGTACAATTAGATTTCTCTAAAATTATTAGAGCTGGTAAAATGAAAGTTTTTCTTTCTGGGTTTAAATTTAACAATTAGTTTACTAACAGATTTATGACTTTTAATAAATATTAGCTTGGCAAGATGATGCAGCACTTCGTCCAGGACTTTATAAAATCTTTTTACAATTAGATGAACTTCATAGTGAAAGTCCTCATGGAGAAAGTGAAAAAATGCAACTTCGTATATTTGATGATGAGGATGTTGTCATTCCAATCTTTTCAGAACAAGAGAGTAACAATAATAGTGTATACCGATCAGAGATAAATGATAATGATCTTAATAAAGTTCCGGTCGTAAAACCTTTACTAAGGTTCTCTGAAGGTTTAAAAGTTTTTGAGAGGGAAAAAGATCATAAAAGAGCATGGGATTTTTTCAATCAACATGCATCTATTGGAAATTCACGAGCCAAATATTGGAAGGCGCATTATTTATGGAATGGTTATCACGTACCACAAAATCAGGCTGAAGCCGTAAGATTATTTAAAGAAGCAGCAGATGATGGATTATCTGAAGCACAATTCTATTATGCAAAATCTTTAGTTGAAGGTGGTACTGGTAATGTGAGAAAACCTGATGAATTTATTCGTTATTTGACTGAGTCAGCAAATAATAATAATGTTGATGCTTTCTTTACATTGGGAAGTATTTATGTGAAAGGGACTCATGGTATTACAATAGATAAAGAAAAGGGTCTACATTACTTGAAATTAGCAGGTTTACGAGAGAATCAAGGTGCTCTTGATCTACTTAAAGAAATTGGTGAAGATCTTTTCCCTTCTTAACTGCATCAATTTTTTTTTTAATGAAAGATACGTAAAATTTATGGAATTTGTTTAACCGTGTCTATAGAAAGAAGAAAATCAAACTATTTTATAGATTATAATCAAAAGATATTAGATTTACTAAAAAAAATCCATAATATCTATAATTAATAATCGAAATGGATTCTATTTAGATTTATCTAAACTGAGAGTAGAAAAGATTATTCATGATTGAATTGATTCAAGTATCATTAAGTATAATTTTTTTTTGTTTCTTGGATTCTGTTTACAAATAAATATTATGACAAATTCTATTGTTTTATAATATAAATTTAAAAAGATATTTAAAAACAATATAGCTTATTCTCAATTGGAACGATACTTTTTCATTTTTGATAAATTCTAATTAGAAAGTTCTTAAATATAGATTCTGTTTTATGTGCAAATCATCATGGAAAATCATTTCATTTTTTTTGCTGAAAACTTCGCATGTGTGACGTGTCTTGTGAATTTTAATTAGAATATTTAGAGTGATATATTATCTTACATCATGATGCCGTAATCAAACAAATTTGATTGAAAAAAAAAATTCGTATATTAAATATGATTAATCAATGATTAAATTATATAAATTATAGATTATGACAATTTTTTTTCTCTCCGTGGATTGATTTGTTGTCAAACTCCTAAATTTTCCAACGAATCAATCTATATTTTATCTTTTTTTTTTTTTCTTTTCTCTGACAAAAGAATGTCATATTTTGATTATAAAGAACCTGATTTCAACGCTTATCGTAAAAATGCATTATGTTCATTACAACAAATAGCTTCAGAAGCAAATATTTTACCAAAACAAAAAAATCTCATTATTCATCCAAAAAAGGATATAGTCATTGAATCATGTTTTCCTCTTGTTGAACTTTCATCATCTCAACAAGAACATCCAAAGTTTAATTCTTCCGTAAAATCTTCTCTTCTTCAACAATCCGTAATTCTTAATTCAATTAAAGGTGCTGATTGGTCGAACGAGGAAGATGGTTGGATTTTCATTAAAAATGCAGATGATGAAAAAGGTAAATTCGATATTAATTGTTTTTAATTTTAATAAATTTCATTATTAATAATTATTAATATGTAGAAACTGGTGTTAAACGCGAAGGTAATGATATTTTATTTTTTATATAATTTGCTTCATTATTTTACTTCATTTAATCGTCATGAAAATACAAAAAATTAATAGTTGAACCAGATGAACTTCAATCATATGAAATTTTACGAAAAGGTGGAGAATCCGTCAAAGGATATAATGGAAACATTCACCAACATGACTCCAAGAGTTATAAAGAAAACAGTCAAGTTTCAAATATCAAGCATCATTTGGAAGATGATGATGTATATTTATTTCTGTAATTTTGAGTTCTGATATAAGTTTTTTATCTCTTAATTGATAAAGCATGTACAAGTAAAATTAATTGATAAATAAAAAATAAAATTAAAATCGAAAGATTTATTATTATTATTATTAAAATATGATGACTAAAAAATGCATTTTTTAGAATATCAGTGCTGCAGTTCTATGACTATAAATTAATATTATTTATCTTTTTTACTTTCTGTTTGATCTATTTGTTCTACTTCTTCTCGACTATCTTGCGCGACTTGACCATATTCGTTTGCTCTCTTATTGTCAACTTAAAAAAAAAAAAGAAAAAAAAGTTAGAATATCGTGAAGAATTCAAATTTCAAAATGATATTTTCAAAAAACATCGAGCTACCTGGATATTTCCATTTTTGATATAGATAAACAAAAAAGATTACATCATCTCTCAAACATGCCAAACGATGTAAGGTTGGCATTTTAATACAAAAGGCAAATAAATCATCAACAAATGTACCAAGAGTTTTGTACATAAGTGTCTTCCAAGGCATGTGTGCAACCTAAAAATATAATATGAAGCATTTAAATTATATACTTATTTAATAAAACAAGTTGAAATTAATATGCTTACGCTCTTAAGTTTGTAATTTATAAATAATTGTGGGGTCATCATTATAAAGCCGAATGCATAAACAAAACCAACAAGAGTTGTCAAAACAAAGGAATACCAGCTCTTGTGTGTGTTATAAATAAGACTGTAAATAGCATATGCAATTAGCAATGGGAAAGCTATCCAAGACAAATATCTGAAAGCAAGTCTGTCATATTCCTTTGTTTTCTCTTCGCTCTCTGAAAGCTTATGTTTGTCTATGAAATTTATTGAATATTTGAAAAAACTTTGAGATGGTTTAATCTATGAATTAAAAGTCAAATGTTAATTAAATTAATTTTCTTAGAAATTTAAATTAATTATATATAGTCGAACTTTACTTCAATGTCTACAGCCTTTTTAATTTTCCAAACTTCAATAGCCAATGAAATCCCTTGACCAATTAAAATCATCCAACTTGTATCTTCATTATTATCCATTAAATATAAAAATATTATTAGCTGAAAGAATATATTTGCTAAAATAGTTCTAACTGACACTCCTGTCAATTCTTCTTTATTTCTCCAATGAGCAATATCTAGGATATAATGATCGATAATTAGTCAAATCAGTAAGTTTGCAAAAAAAGCTAGTTTTCCCCTTAAAATTGTTTTAATAAAATACCGACCATTTTTAAAGGCCAAGAATTCAAAAACACTGTGCAGTATTGATACTGTGAATGTTACACCTAGCAGAATAGGATTCGTCTCTCTTAACATTCTTTTAATTTCATCAAACTCACTGTGTGCATCCCCACCCATCATTTCTGCCTGTGTCCTGAATGATTCTCCCATTTGAACATATAATTGTAATTTCCACGCTGAAATAGGATAGTATTTGATATTTAAAGGCAGCGTCCTAAATAAACTAAATATAAGTAGTTTCTTAATATAAAATAATTAATTCTCTAGAAAGTCTTACTTGACTGTTTCATTAATAGGAGTCAAATGTTCTCTGATGAGCCAAAAATCATTAACAAATAATGTAGGAAGATAATATCCTGCTTTGCTCGAAGGATCCACTAATGTTGTTTTATCTAATTCAATATCTATTAAGAAAATAAACGAGGTGAACAAGTAGAATATAAATAATATCCATTCATTACAAAATATAACTCACATGATTTGAAGAGAGGCTGTAATTGATTATATGGGATGACATGGTTATCTGAAACAATATTAATCGTAAGATTTTTGTACCAATACGATATAATTGGTATTGTGTCTGGTTTTGTCTAAAAAATAAAGCAATTTGTCAAACATCTGCAATTAATAAAAAAAAACTTAAAATAGTTCTTACTTCTTCTTCGACTTTTTCATCCTGGTCATCATTACTAATAAGGTTCTTTGTCTTTATCATTTTGCGTTTTGGATAATATCTTGTTAATACTAAATTAAAAATATTTATTAAACAATATTCTTTAGAATATGTTATTAAAGATTTTAATAATACATTTTCTTTGATAAACTCTCAAGTTTTCTTGGTATGCGGGATCTAACGGATCAGGTGAAGCTTTTTCAAGAGTAAGATAAATATGCGCATACAAGGTGCCATTGTTTTGTACATTCTAAGGAAATATATAGAATTTCAATTAATTGATTATGAAAAAAAAATAATTTACTTCTTTCATACCACGGAGGTTTGAATATCTATGGATTCATCTCTTTCTTCATCCCAATTACCAAGAAGAACAGAAGAATACCATATACGAGCATCAAGGTTTTTGAAATCAGTAAAATTCTCATCTTCTGAAACATATATGCATAAATTCTATTAATGTACAAAAAATATTTTTTAGAAAATGAATAGATATAATGAATTGATCAAAGAGAAAATTCTAGTTTACCATATTTGAACCCAATGGCCATGATGGATATAAATGCGATGGAGTAAAATTCGATGTAACTTGAACATGCGATATATCGCTTTTTGAAGTGCTAGGAACAGATGTCTGATTATTTTGTGATCCTATTAAGAGGGAAAACCGGGTTTTCATATATTACTTAAAATGATAAATATTATTTAAATCGAATAATAAATTTAAATGAAGCCTACCTCTAAAAAAGCTAATAATATAATAAATTATCATCATACGAATAATTACTTGCATTATTGATTGCCATGGTTGCTCTTGTTGTGGCTGCTGTTGCTGCCGTTGTTGCCTTGCATTATCGTTACCATTATTAACGTTTTGTTCATTATTTGTAGTCTGAACATCAGTTATTGGATCTGTTGTAGGAGGTGATGTCGACATTTTAACAATACTTCGATATCGGAAGAAAAAAATTTTTTTTTCGTAAAACTACTGTATTTTATAATTTCGTAAAAGTGACACAATCATCACATGACCCAAAAATTTTGCGTCACTCACCGTGGAATTCCATGCAACTTGCTGTTTCACTAACTACAGAAATGGAACCACCGAAAAAAAATTGTTTACGGGACAATTGTGTCACATTGCGTGAATATATAATCCTTCAGAGTTCGGACTTTCTAAAAAAAAACTATAATGTTTTTACTCGCGAAGAAAAGTTTTCAATTTTAAAAAATTGCTGTATCATCCGGCTAAAATGATTTTTCATAACAGTTCAATGATGCATATCGGAGAAATAGCTCAACAAAAAATATTGAACATATAATAAATTATTTCGGCTGTGCTATCCAATTGTCCAATTGAATCTCATTCGATAAATTTTTCTTTCTTTTTTCTGATAAACATGAGAATTTGTTTCCAAGAATCATCGAACTTGAGTAAGAGACATAAATTCACACGGGGAAATATGTCCAAAATGCAGCTAACCTAAAAAGAAGTGCACATTGCAATGTTTTGAAGATCAGAACTTACAAGCAAATAGGATAATCGGTTTTATTTTCTATTTTAAGAAAATTTTTTTTATTGGAGGCGATCTTGATTATATAATAGTTGCGCAAGCCAAATATTATTTTAAAAATGCAAATGGGACTTAAAAAAGAGGTGAATACCATTCTCCTTTACAACTTTATCATCCCCGCAGCAATAAAGGAAAAAATGAAAAAATTTCGGTACTTTTTATTTCTTTTTCTCTCATTAACTTCAATAGTTCATGGATGTGGTATGAGTGTACATATTGAAGTGACAAAAAGAGCGATGTACACTTTTTACAATACAAAATCCAAATATAATAAATATGCTGAATACATTCACAATTCTCCTGAATTTGTTCAGGTAAAAAATGTCTCAATCGATTTCTTTAATTTAGTTTCCAATGTGATAAATTTTATTAATAAAAAGTTATTATAAATTTATTGATAATTTGACTTTTCTTATAAAGGCTGGTTCTTTTTTTCCAGATTGGTAAATTTATTTTTACTTTTATTAAAAAATATATAAAAAATCGTATTTTAATAAAATCCATTCCTTAGGGGGTTTAAATGTATGGGAAACGATGAAGTTTCCGAAGAAGGTTTATATTCAAGCTCTATATCATAAATATCTAAATTGATATAATTTTTACTAAAATAAAATGAAATTGACCTTTTTATTATTAACTAGCCCACTGGCCTCCTTTTATGAGAGTTGGTGCAGAATATATGCGCGAAAAATATAATAATGCAACCTTGGAACATGATCATGTAGCGCAGGTCCGCAGCAGCTTTGAATTATATATATGTGTATATTTTTAAACATGAAGTTCTCAACTTAATTTTATAATGTTATTAGGGAACAATAGCGTTTATATTTGCAATTGTCTCTCATGGAGTAGCAGATGTAACTTGGCATAGTATAAAAATGAATTCTGGTTTCATACGTGCAATGGCGGATTTGAATTTTATGAATGACTTTGGTGAAGCACATGATGTAGCTGATACTGGAGGAGAATTTACATTATCTCATATGTCAGATTTGGACTATTTGGTGGTATGATATGTTGAATAGAAAAAAATATCCGAAAAAACAATCATTAAAAAAAAAATTTCATTCAGGATAAATGGAGTTTTCCAATTGATGATTTGGTAGAAATTTATCGACGTATGAATCGAACAGTCGATGGAAAGCAAATAATAGGTTGCGCAAGAAGAGCGTTTGCTGCGGCTCAAGCAAACAAAGTGAGTGATCAATAATAATTATGAAATTATAATATGAAGTGTTATTGATTATTTTATTTTTAGCGTTTTGGAAAACATTTTTTCTCGGTTTACGGTGAAAAGGTACAAATTCATTTTTAATTTTATGTATCAATTCTTTCACATCTTTCAATATAGTTCCTTAAATTCACTTAATAAGTCATTATGTAGTCACCATTTTTAATTGAACAATCCGAATTGTACCATAAAGGAGGTATGTAAATATTTTAATATAGATCCATAAAATTAAACATTTATTTAAAATATACAATTTTTAGGTTTCAACAATATGGCTGCAGACGTAGCCGATTGTTGGCATGAATTAGTGAAATGGTTCGAGTTTGGGTCAACCAATAATATTGAATTATGTAATACGTTTCGAATGGTATCTGGAACACTTCCAAAAAATAGATATCAACCTTCATCAAATGACTTGGTAAATTTATTATATAAATATTCCGTGGAAATTTTGAAGACTATAGGATATAATATAAGATATCACGAAAAAAATGGTATCGGTACTTTTGAAATACACCGAGAATTATTAAGAGATCCAATTACAAATGAACCTTTTATTGAATTACAAGATGATTCTTCTGAAGAAGAGGAAAGTGTAAAAGTGGAAAAATATGGATTCGATCAAATATTTCAAGATGTTCCAACAAATTATGAACAAATACCCTTATCTTCAAATAAAGACTCGTATAATTTACTTTCATCTAATATGATTAATGAAACCCCATTCAATACAAAATGTAATTTAGTACCAGATAATCCAATAACGTTGAATATTCCTTATTCTTATGCTCAATTCGGTCACGATATGGTACTTGGAGATTTTAATGGAGATGGAATTCAGGATTTAGGTAATCCATCATTTTTAGATTATCACTATTGATTATCATCATCACACGTTTTTTGGTTCTAATAAAAGTTTCGAATTTTTTTTTCAGCAATTAGTGCACCATTTTACTCAAATATACAAGAAATACCACAAACCGGGGCAATATTTATAATAAATGGTAAAAAATCAAGTTCTTTTAAAGTTCCAGAATCAACAAATATTCTTGATATAGCAGATAAAATAATATATGCGTATAATCTACATGACGAAAATAATAATGACCCACAATCGAGATTCGGGTGGTCAATGAGTGTAGTAGATTTGAATAAAGATGGTATAGATGATTTAGCAGTTTCTGCTCCATCATTTGGTGCAAAAAAATATATTTATAGTGGGAAAGTTTATGTTTATTTTGGAAAAAAGAATGAAGGCCTAAAAGAAAATAAAGCAGATTTAGAGATTTATTCAGAACAAGATGTATTAGAAAGCGATTGGCAAATTGAAGCATTGGGACAATATTTAAGTTCCGGTGATGTAGATGGCGATGGTTTTGATGATTTATTAATTGGATGTCCATATTGTGGAATTTATGGTAAATCGAGAACGGTATATATTTTTTCTGGTTATAATAAATTTTTCTTTAACACCATGTTAATTATTATATATATTTTTATTTATATATATTCTTTTTTTTCTAGTTTCGTTTATTGCACACTGGCGGCGTGTTTGCTTTCTTAAGTTCTAGTGACCATAAAGGAAATGTAACTATCTTTGATTATGATTGGTCAATAATAAGTCCAGGTGATCAACAGTATGAATGGTTTGGATATTCAATAAATTATTTTAAATTAGAATCTATGCAAAATCCTATTATAATTGTTGGAGCTCCAGGATATGATGATCATTTAAAAGCACAGATGAGTGGTAGAATTTATGGATTCGAAATAATTGATAAAAATCCTGTAAAAGTGTTTGATTTAAGTGGAATAGAAAAATTTCAGGAGTTTGGGAGGTAATAATAATACGAATGAAGAATTTATGAATAAATATTTATTGACATTTTTGTTTTTCCCTTTAAATAGTTCAATTATCACGGGAGATTTTCATGAGAATGGCAAAAAATTACTTCTTGTCGCTTCTAAATCTGAGACACATGAGAAAAAATTTCCTTTTTATAACAAAGATTGGCAAGCAGGAGCAATAAGATTAATTGATATGCAATACTTAAAAGAAAATAAAAGGTTATCTGATCATGATATGATCTTGGGAAAAGGACTTTTAGCATTATTACATGGATCGGAGAGTTTTTCACATCTTGGCAGTTCACTATTATGGGATGACGATGAAAAATCATTTTGGTCTTCTGAACCTTTTACTTATTGGGGTGAGTGAATTATTAACGGATTTCGAATTGATTTTTAAATGCTTCTAATAGGTTATTTTCTATATTTAGAATCAGGGCAAATTTTAAAATATTCAGTTAGATCTTTATTCGATTCATCACAAGCAGTATCACAAGAAAGTATAGTTTCAGATGAATGCTTAGTTGGAAGGGAACGTCAAGCTAGATTTGGACATAAAATAATTAAATTTGACTTTGATGGTGATGGTAAAAAAGATTTGGTAGTGAGTTCTGAACATTCAAATCATGCTGCAAGGTACGTTATTTTAAGTCCAATAAAACAATAGCAATAAAAAATTAAATACTAACATAATTTCATTTTAAGATTGAGCGGAAGCGTTACAATAATTTTAAAATAATTTCACTGCTCAGATTCAAAAACAATTTTTATCAATATCCTGTACCATAATGTATTTTATATTATTATTTAAATAATAGATTTCATTTGAATTTGATGTTAAAAATACACTTCACTCAAACTGAAGACAATATTCTTATTTATCCTTGAGTACTTATTTACAAGGTCATTTTCATTGAGATTGGACAATTACAAAGGCATTAATGAGATTCAATCAAAAAAAATTGTGTCTTCAATTATTTAGATCAATTTAGATCAATTTAGATAATGCATATTTATAAACATTTTTGTATTCTTGAACAATAATATCGTATTTTATATTTATTTTACATCCTTCAAATAATTCAATTGTGATATTTTATTTATTTCATTAAAGAATTTTAGAAAGTTGAAGATTCTAATAATTTATGGATATTGTAAGATGTTGTAAATACCATAATATTTATCATACGGCTAATACAGGTCATGCTTTACATGGATTAATAAAAAATCGAGAACAGTCAATTGGCAATAAATGCATACAGCGAAAGCTTATTTTTATTTTGTAAAAATCATACCATATAAAAAAACCAAGGAAAGGAATACACTAAAAAACCAGTATGACGATATTAGTATGATATGACCATGTATGGTATAGGTTTTATTATCTATATTGTGTAGTTATTGATTCTATACGGTATAGTTTTAGGGTTAGAATTAGTGTTAGGATTAGTGTTAGGTTAGGAGTTAGATTAGGGTTAGTATTAGGGTAAGGATTAGTGTTAAATTATACTATATAAAATAAAAAACTATATCATACATACAATGAAGGTTATATTATACTTATTATCTATATATTATTATACTCTAAAAAACTGTAAAATTATGTATATATTCGCAATATATAAATTTTATTAATACCATAACTGAATAAGAATTTGAAATATCATTACAGCTGTATTTTCTTAGAAATCAAATGAAGCAATTAAACTTAGGCAAATAATATGGATTAATTTACTGTTATAAATTCCACAAGTTCCTGATAATAAAATTTAACATAAACTATATCTTTCTTCTCTATTCTTTTATTTGAATATACTATGTTTGCCTTGGTGATGCCTGGATTGGTAATTCTTTCATTTAAATATATATTTACCTTGGCTTCTGTATAACCTCATGAATTTTTATATAATATTACATGATATGAATCTTTTGATATCAAAATTAGATCTTAAAAATCTTGTAGATTAGAAAGCGCATCAACATTTTCAATTAATTCTTTGATTATATAATAATGACTTTTGATTTTAGGGATAGAGAATCTTGTAAGTATATTAATAACGTATAAGTCTTCTGATATGTGATGCATTGTATAGATGGTAATTTCACACTCTAAAATAAAAGAAATAAGGATTTGAGACTATAAAAATCACATTTAATCATCTGATTAGTATCACTTACGAGTTATGATATACTACAATTCTGTAGTTTTCAATGCATTTGAGTTTATCTTTAGTGACTTCACATTGAAGAAAATATTATCTCTGGTAGAATATGGAGATTAGCATTACTATAGAATAATTTTACATTAATAATATAATGTAACTGCAATATGAATGAAGAAATTCACTAACTTTTGAAGACTTTTTCAATGTCTTCACTTAGTTTTTTTTAAATCAACTTTGATTGCACTATCTACAATTCCATAAATCTAATTTCTGAATCTATTGCGTTTAAATAGACTTCAATGATTCCATCTTGGTTACAACTAAGACAGATATAATGATTTTATTATTCAATCTCATTTCTTTGTATTTTTGTTAACATGTTGTCAATTTCACCACTAAGTATAAGGATAAGTAAGTATTAATTTCTTAGAGTTCAAAAAACAAGCATTCTAAAAGGTTTGCTGTAAAACTCGAGACTCACATTTTGAATCTAATTGTTTCAAATCATCAAATGCTCATGCTAATATTGGTAAAATAAAATTTTCATAATATGAGAATTCTGACTATTTAGAATCAATAAGTTTATTTAATGGTATCTTGAAATTAAGTATACTGAAAATAGAATACACTAATTAGACTAGTGGGCAAATAATAACAGCTATTTAGTAAATACGTACAATTGCCTGTACAACTCTTGTATCTATAAAAGAATGTATAGTTGAAGGCACCATTATATGACTTTTTCATAACAACATCAAAATCCAGCAGGACATCATCAAACATTAATTTTTGCTCAATGAAGGCTCTATTATAAGTTTCCAAAAGAGATTTTATAACTTCTTTCCATTTAGAATCACGTACACTAAAATGATACGATTATTTATACTAAAAAATAAGGTTAATATAATATTCTGAAACTTCATAAAACTGTAGGTAATATACATACAGTATCTCAGCAATGTTTTAGCAATTCTTTTTCATTAGTTGTGAAGATTTTATTTATTAGATTTGAAGCATTTTGATCAGAAAGGTCAATGATTCAATATTCAAACAAACGATATATAGAATTTTCAATTTTATTTATAATCTTATAAAAATTATTAGCAGTGGTCTGAGTGGACTATGAAAATAGAGCATTAAGTCAATTAAGTCATTAAAAATAAAAATAATATTAAAAACAGTAGATACTTTTTAAATCGTTTTCTTTAAATATTTACGCTCAACTTCATCGTATTTAAGGTAGAATCCTGCCTACTATTAAAATAGGTCACCCTGTGGCCTAAGGTAAGATTTACATATAAAATTCTTTGAAGATCTTACTATAAAAGGAAATTTTATGTTACATTGTTATGATTTTTTTCTTTTTTAGTCAATTAACCAATAGAATTTAAGCAAATCCTAAGGTAAGGTTTCATATGAAAGTGAAATTTCTACCAGTAACATATCTTAGTAATAGGCGGGATCCTTTTAAGATTGCTAAAGAAACTAGAGATTTTGGTAAGTTGGCGAAATGCTAAAATAGCGAAACTTTGCTGAAACTATATGAAAGTCTTATTAAAAAGTTAGCGAAACTTTAGAGAAAAGCAAAATCTGACAAAACTTATTATAAATGCTAAAACTGCCAAAACCTTGCCAAAACTATAATAAAACTATAGTAAAATCTTGAAGAAACTAATCGTAGAATTTTGGAGAGGTTTAGGCAGGCAACCTTAATCATATTTCAGATCGTGTAATAACTAATACAATTCAAAATGATTATTTAAACAATTATTAATAGATGGTGAACACAAGTTTATTTGAATGGTTATTAATATATACTTGCCTTTTTCAATGGTGGCTGTACTTAATTATCATGATTATCAAACATTTGTTTGTTCTCTATTTCAGATTTTGCAGATGTGATGGTAGAAATGACTTGCTCTAAATTTGAAAGAGCACCTTTGTCATACTACGTTGCAGTATGTAAAATTCTATTCATTTAATATGTATATAAGTTACAAGAAATAGAAATAGAATGATTACTCAAATTCACAACAAATTATATATTATAAAATCTACCCAAACCCGTGACATTTTCATTTGAATCTATATAAAAGTCAATTTGGATTGTTTTTTAAGCAACTTGCTCTGTGCATTAATATTTTCCTTCTATGCATAAATCTCCCAAAAAATTTTTATTTGCTTTGTCTTTCTAGTATTCTTTATATATAAAAAAAAGTAATGAAATTAATGAAATGTTTTTATTGATATATAAAGTAGAAGTAGAAAAAATCGCAGATGAACAAGCAGATTGCAAAGTAGTTCATGAAAACCATTCTGGACCAATAAGCAGTTTTTTTTCCTTTATGAACATGCAGATTGAAAAGTAAGTCCATTAAACTATACACACAATACACCATTAGAAGATATGCATACTAACGAACAAGCAATTTTTCCCATTACCAACAAGTGGATGATAAGGTAGTTGATGAGGCACAAGAGTCGAATGGGCCTTTAGAGCAAAAAAATAAATATAATTATATATAAACATGCCTTAAAAACTAGTTTCCACTTTTTTACTTTTTCCCTAATTTCAGATACTTTAACATGATGTGAGCTAAGGGCAGTGACATTTATTACGTAATATCTATTTACTATAAGTCCATACTCCTCCACCCCCATGTAATATGAAAAATCTTATGTTACACTTATATGTTATATGACCTTTAAATACCCTCCCACCCTCTAAAATATTACGTAATAAATGTCACTGCCCTAATGGGTTTCAATTCATTGTTGTAGATATTGTATTCCGTTTGCATATTTTCCAAATCACCAGAATTAAGCTGAAAATCTAAGAATTTTTTGAGTATAGGTTTTTTTGTGTTTTTCTAAAAATCTAAATTGCAGATTAGTACGAAATAGAGTCTTAATCATTACATATATAACTTACATTTGAGTTTTAGCAAATTTAATCAAAATTAGGTTAAACTCATAATTTAAGATAGAGTAAATTGATTGAAAATTAATTAATAGTTATAATTATGGATTTTAGCAAATTGTGTTAATTTTACAAAGTCATATTTTATATTTGAGCAAATTAGTACTTTTTTTTAAACTTTTTTTTTAACTTTTATAGATAATATTTTTAAAAATATAAGTTTTGGGTCCAGGTTATATTTTAGCCAAAATTAAGTATAATTCCAGTTAAAATTAAGCATAATGCAGGCTAAAAACTGTTTGATTAGTTTCGCAACATTTTATTTTTTAATAATTATTTATATTTAATTTATTTTTTTTTTATTTTTTTTTTTTTAATGATTTATATATACTTTTATTGATATTAAGTTTATATATATATTTAATTTATTATTTTTAATAATTATTATTTTTATCTATAATTTACATATTTTTAATTATAAATTATAAAAATTAACAGTTTAATTTATATTAATTATTTATTTTTTTATTGATAATAAAAAAAAAGACAGTAAATTAATAATTAAATTTACCAATCTACAAATAATTTGAATAAACTGAAATTATATTTTATTAAGCAAATTTAAATCTATATTATTTAGAATTTTACTATAACTCATATTTTGAGTTTTAGCAAATTAGTATAAATTTAAAATGTGATAATTTAATTTTTAGCAAATTAGGTCTATTTTAGGCTGTCAGTATAGCTAATTTTTGATATAATAAACAAATAAAATAAAGGTTAAATTTTAGCAAAATTATACTGAAATAATATTCTCTTATACACATCTAGATGTGTATAAGAGACAGATATAAATCTGAAATTATAAATATAATTGAGAACAGAATAAAAATATTATTTTGAAACTATCAATCCAGTAATTTCTTGCTCATGTATAATGTAACCTTATCAACTTTCTTTTTTATTGGAATCCAATCCTCACATATGTATTTCTTTACAAAGGTATCCATTAATTTCTTTACTAAGGAGACTGACCTTTGTAATCGATCTATTTTTCTTGTTTGTAGATCTTTAACTTTATTTGAAAGTTTATTTGTATTGTCCTTTACTTTGGATTCTGAAGGTTGATTTGAAAAT